TTCATTCTCAAATATACCCACCTTCTGCAGCCACCATGCGTCAGAATCAGAGCTCGTCATCCAGTGTAAACGACAAAAATAAGGTGACATTAGCCACTTGCGGTCTATACGCCATTCACCCCGCGTCGTCATCCTGTGAAGCATCCATTTGAGCAGAGCGTTCTTTGCGAGGCGCTCAGGGGGGAAAAAGATGCAGTAATACCATCCATGACCCTCCAACCTTGCCGTTGGTCCAACCACCAAGTGCTGGCAAGATGCTTTCACACTGTCGAGTCGCGCCAACGGCCCGAGGGACAAGAGATGGCGTTGCAACGACGGTGGGGGACGTTGGATGAGCTTGGAACAGGGACAGAAGTTAACGGGAGTTGGGTTGGGTATCAGTGCCAGCTAAATGCCAAGGTACCTTTGCATGAGTTGTCTGCCCCACTGATCGCATGTACCTTATCCCAATATGCTGGGGTCCAGGGTCCAAGCCATTTCTTCGGTTCCTTGCCTATCAGAAACCCAATTAGAGCCATTACGTCTGTATCAACATGAGGGTTTCCAGGGGATTTTACGGAGGACACTGGATCACTTGTAGGAAGCTTTTGAGATCGGATTGGATAGGAAAGCCTTATCAGGCAAATGTTCACAGCTGTCTGCTACCTTACCAAGCATTCTCTGATGGTGCTCAGGCATTGAAGGGCCCTTCATTTTGAAGCATGGGCCTCTTGATGTCTTGTTTCTAAACAACCTCGCTAATCAAGACCCCAATTCCAGTCGTTTGAACAATTCATCATCAGAGAGATCCATTCTCAGCAAGACTCTGCAACCGTGTCACCCCCGCAGGACTCCTGATAATACCGTCAGCATCACGGTAGAGGAGTCCGGAAACACTGACAGCCCGCACCATGTGCTGCACTGCTCTGCACTACACTACGAGGCTGCCCCATCGGCCGTTTGTATCACAATTCTTAAATTCAAGGGCCTCCATGCTACATTGTAATATCTTATCCCACAGCCCAATCCACCTCCCGCATTCCAGGTCATCTCACTCACCCTTCTTGTCGTTCAGTTCCCCTTGATTTGAGGAATACGACACAGTGCGTGTATAATTGTACCTTACGTAGGTTGGTTTCCTGCTCTCATGCTTCCTCTCTCTTATGTACTTGTCTTCCCGAACTTGATCTCCCCAACCCACTTATCCTGTTATCCCCCGAACAGCAGCTTACCCTTTTTTCCTTTTATGAAGTCACCGGGCAGGATTCCCAGGAGAGGAAACGCAGAAGCAAAGGCAGCACGAAACAGAGACGAAGCAAGGCAAAGCAAGTAATTTAATTCCACTTGCAGGACCGCCATCACCAATTCAGCATCGCCACCCGGGCCAAACAACACACCACAACAATATCAATACCCCCCGCGTTGCACTGCGTTGTGCATCCAATCCCCAGTCCCCCCGTCAAACTCCTCCTGTTGTTTGGCTTCGTTTGTTCCCTCTGGTCTTGCTTGATTCTGAAAGCCCAAGGGCCTATCTATCTATCTCTTGAGTGAGCCAGACCTGCACGGCACGGCACTGCATGCACTGCGCATCTCTTCTGATTCCCCTCCCCTTCTCATTTTCCCTGCACACACACCCTGTGACTTGATACCTGTTCTGTTTCTGTCTAGTCAGTCTCCTCCACCTGCTGCTCGTCGGCCCATCACAAAAAAAAATCCCGTACCTAACAGCAGCAGCCCGCCGTCCCCTCTAAGGCCTTTTTTTAGCCCCAAAGGGCCCCCCCAACCCAACTGCCCTCAGTTGACAGGCTGCTTCCTGCTTGCCGCTGGATCATGGACGGCCCCGGATATACCTCTGCGTCGTCTGCGTCTGCTCATACCGCAACTTCACATCGTCGAAAGCTCATCAAGAAACCTCCCACTTACGCCTACGCTCGCTCCTCCTCTGGCTTCGATGGTGGTGCCTTCGACGCCCAGTCCCTCGAGAGCAAACGCAGTTCCCAGAGTCTGAGAAGAGCCCCCAGCGCTCCCCCAGCCCGGTCAAACCCCGCGACCGTGTCCGACTGGCAAGACTCTGATCGATCTCATCCTCAATTATCCGCCAACAGCAACACCCTAAGACCTGTCCCATCGCCCATCTCACCCCAGGGCGACTTCACCCCCGCTAATCACTGGGCGCCTGTCCCCCGTCATCCCGACCGTCTCTCCGATTCTCACCTCCGCCCTCTCAGTAAGACAGCCGTGCCTGACGACCTGATCGGCGCTCCTTTTGACGGCGCTGCTATTCTGAACCGCATCGAATCGATAAAGATTCCTAGTCCGAAGGCTGCTGCCCCTCGTCAATTCCCGCCCCAAATCGTCAAGGCGCCCACCGACTCTAGGCTTGCTAGCCCTGCCCTACGAACTTCGACCAGCTTCTCCGCGATGGACTCGTCTTTGAACGAGAAGAGTCTAGGCGGCCCAAGGGCTCCAACTGATGGGCCTTCGGTCAACCCCAAGAGATATTCCGACGATGGCAAGGACCTCAAGCCTGCTGTTCTGCGAAAGAAGTCAGGATTTTCCGGTTTCATGAACAGTTTGGTAGGATCGCCCAAGAAGCCCGTTATCTCTGCACCCGAGAATCCCGTCCACGTTACTCATGTTGGCTATGATAGTTCCACAGGCCAGTTCACAGTCAGTTCTCCCTTCTCTTTGTTCTTATACTCGTTAACAGACTCTAGGGTCTGCCAAAAGAATGGCAGCGGCTTATCAACGAAAGCGGAATTCCTGAAAAGGAAAGGCGAGAAAACCCGCAAACTATGGTTGATATCTTGCAGTTCTACAAAGAGACCACGGAGAGGCCCCCAGAGGATCAGGTCCTTGAGAAATTTCATCATGCTGGTCAGTATGCCACCTCTCCGGCAACTGCAGCATCACCGGGCATGTACCCGTCAAACTATATGGGTATGTCACCGAACAATATTTCACCTACGAACCACAGGTTTCCAACTGTCAATCATGAAGGAAGTTTTGAGAATCCCCGAGCACCACCGCCTGTTCCCCGAGGCCAGGTTGGTAAGGACCTGATGCCCAGTCGCCCAGCCCCGAAACCGCCCGTCAGCATGAGCAATCGACATATGCCTCAAGGCGCATACTCGACCAAGGACTCAGGCATCGGTATGTCTCAGTCCGGCGACGAATCCTACGGCATATCAAAGGATGCTGGCCCTATGCTCCCCGAAGAGCACCGATCGAGATCCAATTCGCGCGTCACTGGACCTACATACGCCCCAACTGCACCGCAACCCAACCCACAGCTCGCTCAGGCGCAAGCCGCCGCTTATCAACAACAACTTATGCAGCAGCAGCAAGAGCAAGCCATGGCCCAGGCCCAAGCTGCCATGTCTGGCGGCATCGGCCGTGCTCCTAGTAAACGAACTCCTCATCCCCAGAACCCGAACATGCAAGCAGCTCCTGGATACGGCCGTGCCCCCGAGTCTAATGGTATGCACAACGCTCCTCGTCAGCAGGCTCCTGGAGCAGCCGTGCCTGGGGCTAGGCCACGACACCGGGCTCGTCAGAGCGCAGGTCTTGATATTGTTGCTGCCCTTAAGCGCATCTGTAGCGAAGGCGACCCTCGAGACATATACCGAGGATTCAACAAGATCGGCCAGGGTGCATCTGGAGGTGTTTTCACTGGTCACGAGCGTGGCACGAACAGGTTGGTGGCTATCAAGCAGATGAATCTCGAACAGCAACCTAAGAAGGACCTGATTATCAACGAGATTCTTGTCATGAAGGATAGTTCACATCCCAACATCGTCAACTTTATCGACAGTTATCTATGTGGTGGCGAGCTGTGGGTCGTCATGGAGTTTATGGAGGGAGGCAGCCTTACGGATGTTGTTACCTTCAATATCATGTCCGAGGGACAGATCGCTTCTGTGTGTCGCGAGACCCTTCTTGGTCTGCAACATCTGCATTCCAAGGGAGTCATTCACCGAGATATCAAGTCGGACAATATCTTGCTATCCCTAGAGGGCAAGATCAAGCTGAGTGAGTGACAAGTGTTCCAATGGCGGTGCAAGGCACAACTAACCGTAACAGCCGATTTTGGATTCTGTGCGACCATCAACGAGGCCCAGAACAAGCGAACAACCATGGTGGGTACACCCTACTGGATGGCGCCCGAGGTCGTTACTAGGAAAGAGTACGGGCGCAAGGTTGACATTTGGTCTCTGGGTATCATGGCTATCGAAATGATAGAAGGCGAGCCACCATACCTGACGGAATCTCCCTTGCGTGCCCTTTGGTTGATTGCAACCAACGGAACTCCTCACATTAAGAATGAGCAGGATCTTTCTCCTGTGTTCAAGGACTTCCTATACTTTGCACTCAAGGTGGATCCGGAGAAGCGAGCCAGTGCTCATGATCTGCTGAGGGTAAGCCCCCAATGCTCCCCGGTTAAATGATTCCACTGACCCTTTTTAGCATGAATTCATGAAGCAGTGTGTTGATCTAGGTCAACTATCGCCATTGGTGCGAGCCGCTCGAGAACAGAGGGCGCAAGAAAAGGCTCGCAAGGGGCAGTAGGTAAACCCCGGGAGAAGAGTTCCTCCTGCAGATCCCCCAGTGAGAAAAGAGAGACTTCGCCGACTGTTGCCGGCGTTTCTCAGACGATGATCGATGTATCTCCAAGTCGATACGGTGGTCTCAATTAACGACGTCCCACGGGCACAAACCGTCCTTGGGTCACGATTCTGCATACCCAACTATCTAATGACCATTTTGTTCCACAAATTATTCAACTGTCATAGCAGGCCTTGCATCTTGAAGTTGGAATTGATACGATGCCGCGTCAAGGGGTGGCTCGGATTATGTTATGCGCATGAGGTCGCGAGTTCGACACATGGCAAGAAAAGAAAAACCCAAAAGGTGCCAGCAGGCGGACACCAAGATGACGCCTAGCAGCACATAGATATGACACGCTGGATATACCCCTGCATACGAATTGTTCTTGCACATCGAGTTCGCACTCGAGGCTGGGTCTGTCACGATACTAGACCTGGCCATGTCTCCTCACCAGCTTTGAATCCTAAAAAAATAGTTTGCTTCCTTACATTAGTGCCATGGCTTTTTGGAATGTGTTTGTGGTGATGATACGAAATGGAGTTCTTAGTGTTCAGGTGTCAGTCACTCTGAGTGACTATGTTTTAACAGACCTAACGCTCAAAGCCAATCAATCTAACCGAACAAACGAAGCCAATACTAACCAAACACTCTAACGCAAAGACGACAAGGCAAAACAACAAAATCACTAGACCAGCCTGTGGCGACCATACTTTGTTTCTTCGATGTCTCCCGTCCTACAAGAACTTGCTCTTCTGGAACATGAGGCTGCCTTGCTCCCATTGTTGATAGAAGGGGCTGATATGCTTCCGGACTCTCGAGCAACCTTCGCCCTCTCTGACAGCGGCGTGGCCTTCCATGCCCGTGGGTAGCCCGTTGCCAAGCACCGCAACAGTGCCAAGGGCGGCAGGTCGAGCTTGGTGTTTGAGCTTGTCGTGGGAGTGTGACGAGAATGGTGAGGAGAAGTGTATTGAGTTGCGTACGGAGGCGGCTGCAGCGCGGGCTGGGAGGAGGGTTTTCTTGATGAGTCGGTTACGCAAGGACCGAGCGGCGCGGACCAGCGAGATGGAGGGAGTGCAGAGTAGTTGCATATTTGGAAATGATGTCGAGACCTTTCTTGAGGTGGCGATGTAAAGGATGAGCTGGTTATGTGAACCTGCACTTGATATTGGAATGTTGAGTAGACTATGAAAAAGATATCATGAGCGAGTATGTGTTTTGGTCGTTTTATAAGGAGAAAAGAAGAATAGGAAGAGAAGTTAGAGACAGCAGATGATTGAGAGGCTCTAATCCTTCCGAGTCATTGCATGAGTTAACCGTGCTCACCTCCGAAGACCCCCCTCCATCATGAGCCGGAACGACAATGCGGTCTGCCGGTGGCACCTCGGGGTCCTCCATGATATGCAGGTGTATGTGTCTTGCACGGGATCCTTGGAACGTGGAGGGACTTGGTTCGTTGAATCTGTAGTGTCGTTTCACATGAGTCGTTGTTTATCGAAAGGTTCAGCTCTTTACTTGGCTGTGTCGTAATCTTGAGTTTATGTACTCAACTTTCACTGTGGTACAGAGGGCATTCTTGTCTTGGTTCCTGCATCCTCATGAGACATTTCGCCCTAATGTCTCTCCCATATCCGTCGATTCAGGAGACTGACTCTAGGCATGACCTCATGTCTCCTATTCTCTTCCTTCATGTTAGTATCGGCCCATATTCTCCACCGCCAGTTTAGTTGGCGAACCGAAAAATAAAAAGGCTGGCCGGATCTTTGACCCGGTTCTGATCGTCTCGAAAGCTGCGAAAATAGGAGCGGTGAGAATAACCTAGACCCAAATCATTGGCTCAAGCTGGATTGCCGTTTTCAACATGCAAGTGCCATCGTGATTGGCTGCTCGGGAACATGCGATGATTGATTGACATTGACGTGCATTGGTGGATTAGACTTGGACCAGACTGCACGTGGTTTGGCATTCGGCATTGCACTTTGCGTAGTCAAAGTCACGATCTGCCTCTTGCAGACTTCGGTTGTTAGCGCACGATACCCATTAACCTTGTTTCACACCCGAAAGTCTAATCAAGCGACGAGGAAGGATATTCGTTTATACAATCACCAAAAAGACAAGTGGTTCTTTTTATTGGATTCATTATATGCCATTGGCTATTAAATCTAGATCCTCTGTCTGGATCGCCTCGCTCCGTGTCTAATACGGCAGATTCATCCTGCTCTATGGTATCCAGAGCTGATCTTAGTTTTATCATCATACGTCTCTTTTCGTCCTTGGTCCTTGCTCAAAAAATAGGTCACCAATTGTTTCCGGAACTCCAAACAAAGAAAATCAAATCCTCTTTCAGGGCCTTCCCGATCCAGCCATTCGTAGGAACCATTCTTCGCTAACCGTCAAAATAGGGCGCCGCTCGCTTAGTAGCATGTGTAGCCACCGTCGATGATGCAGTTGGAACCAGTCATGAACTTGGAAGAGTCTGAGGCGAGGTAGATGCAGAGGCCGTTGAGCTCGTCAACGTTACCCAGTCGGTTTTGGGGTGTCAGGGACTTCCAGATCTTCTTCTGGGCGTCAAGCGCAGGGACTCGGTTGAGGGCAGTGTCCATGTAACCGGGAGAGATGCAGTTGACCCGGATGTCGTACTTGGCCCATTCAGCCGCAAGGGACTTGCCGAGTTGAATGACACCCGCCTTGGAGGCATTGTAGCAGCTCTGCTCCTGGGGGAAGTTGACGATGGAGCCAGACATGGAGGCGACGAGAATGATGCTGCCAGGCTTTCCAGCGGACATCATGGCACGTCCAACGGCTTGAGACATGAGGAAAGAGCCGGTAAGGTTGATGTCGATAAGGCGACGGAACATGGCAGGGTCGTAAGTCTCAGCCTTGATGTTGGAGTCGGCGATGCCGGCAGAGTTGATGAGAACATCAGGAGCACCATAGCGCTCGACAACCTCGTCGACGGCAGCGTTGATGGCAGCACCGTCACGAACATCGACCTTGAAGAAGGAGACAGGTAGGCCAGTCTTGTCGTGAAGCTCAGCTGCGGCTTCGTCACCAAGCTCCTGGTTGGCGTCAAAGAGAACAATGTTCTTGGCACCAGCCTCAGCACAAGCACGAGCCATATGGTTTCCAAGACCACGGGCAGCGCCAGTGAGGATGATGGTCTTGCCATAGACACTCATGTTGCGCATGGTGTGGGGGAGCTGCTCAAAGGTCTTGCGGGTGAGCGGCTGAACGATGTCGCTCTCGTGAGAAGGAGCACGAGGCTCGCTGGGGACTCGAGCAGCCGCCTCGGGGACGTTGACTGTGTGCTTGTCACCAGTGCCTTGGCCAGCACTGTAGACTGTGACAGGAACCTCCTTCTCCCGGACAACGTTCTTCTTCAAGTTGGTGTCAATGACACGTTGCACAGGGGTGGCCGAGAAGCATCGCGAGTTCTTGGGGATAGCAACGGCAGGGGCACGAGTGGCGCGGAGGATGTTGCGAGAAATGGAGCAAAATGCCATTGTGAAGGTTGTGAAGGTTGGTGGTTGAGAATAGGTAGGATATGGGTATACAAGAACGGGAGTGATAGCGGGAGAAGAAGTGATTATATATTAGAAGGTCTTGGTCTTTGGTTCAGACACAAGTGCTCGAGCGAGAGAGGGGTATAGAGCGGAAGATGAAGATTGTAAAAGAAGAGTTGAATAGATGAAGGGATTCTCTCGATATATAGTCGAATGGTTGTGGGTCCGAAAGTAAATCACAGATAGAGTGTGAAGTGTGTTGCGGAGGTGGAGGGAGTGCAAGCAGTGAGAGCAATGCAGAGAAAACTCTAGACCTGGGCACGAAACCTTTTTTTTTTTTTTCCTTGTCGCAGAAATTGTATGGTAGGGTCGCTGGGAAAGCTTTTACTTTGCTTGCCAGGTAGAAAGGTAAGGTAGACTAGGTGCAGAATTTAGTGTGGCGGTATGTCCGTGAGGAAGGCGAACGAATGGGTGTGGTGTGGTATGGTGTTGCAAAGTCCTTGGACTGTAAGCGATAAGGTACGGTGCAGATGACTTCAGCTAAGGCTAGAACCAAGGGATCTGCTCTCGTCTGGCGGCTCTGGGGGCTTCTAGTGCTTGTTCAAGGAGGGTAGCAGCGGGGGGCCTGGATTGAGAGAACAGTGGAACCGGGAGTAAGAGTGCAGGCAAAGATAGAATAGTTAGGTATGTGAAGTGCAGATCTCGCGGCAGGAAAACTCCGTAGTCCAAGAGCACGGGATGGACCTTTGGGCAGTGTATGGCAATGCTGTTTGTTCAGGAAAGGCACGTTTCGCTTGTTCCAAATTTAGGTGACTGCGGGAGGACCGGTACTATTTTCGGGGCTCTTCAATAGCGACTCCAGAACGGCAATTCAGGTTATGCTTTGTTCGCTGTGTAGAGCTGATCTGAGATAGATGTCTCGAAACAACGGAGATTCGGGCTTGATCTTCGGATCCGGGACTGGAGGCAAGCTTGGTGGCAAATGCTACCTGAGCTATGGTGCAGCAGAAACTTATCTCTCCAAGGTGGTGCGGAGAAGGTGTCGATGAAAACCTATAACTTGTTAGTCGCCATGATCGTTGAATTTGGCCACAGCAAAAAAAAAACCAAGTGGTTGGCAAGGTTCATGACGTGTTTAAGGCAATGAGAATAAGAAGAAGTAGTTTGTTAGGGACAACGTACAGCTTCAGATGAACTTTTGTTCGAAGCGAGAAAAGAATCTCTATGAAGTCAAAGTCGTAGAAAATGCGTATGTGTGATGACAGGTCATGGGGAACTAGCTCCGACCGGCAATGGATTTATATAGGTTCCATGGCATCCAGATACAATACACACGTAGGTGGAGCAACCACCGGCACGCACGCTTCCTGACACCCAAGCAAGGGAGAACGGTTCTTCACCGACTTCGGTGTAAGACGGTGAGGTCGGATTTGTATGTAGCAAGCAACTGTAGAAATGGTATGGAGGTACATTGGTACGGTTCCTGAATTAGAAGTTTATTAGTTCGGGTCTAAGAAAGGGGGTAGCACAAGCTGGACTCACCTCACCCTCACCTCACATCATGGAGGGACCGGGGCACCGATGTCGCATCAGCCGGGGGCTTCCTCCAAAATGTGAGACGGGATGGGAGATTTGTGATGGTCACAAGATCGATTGCCAGGGCCACTGACAGGGTCACTGCATTTCCTGTCAAGAGATTGATCAAAGACGAGACTTGGACTAGACCACTGCAGAGGCGCATTCAGGCACGCAGAAGCAGTACATTGTGGGGGAGCATTGATTACATGGTCTGAGACTCAACTAGTCTTTGTTTTGAATATTTAAATATGGGCTACCTTAGTACTTCTGTGGGTTGTGAGAAAATTCTATGGTGATTTACATATAGGTAGGCTTGACTAGTTGAGGTGAGATGGTGTTGTTTCCTCTTGCCTCGTCTTGAAGGTATTGCGCAAAGTTGGGTTACATAAGGTATTTTCCAAAGTTCCCAACTGACAATTGTATCATCAGTCAAACAAGGCACTGCTACATGTTCTGTTCTCAATCAATTGATAAACCTGCTATTGTACAGCCGGTCCGGGTTTCTTCTCTCATAACCCTCCGACTTTTTTTTTTATAGCTTTGATAACAACGTGGGGTTCTCCGCTGCTTCTCAATGCCCACATCAGAACATGCATATGCAGCTCTAATTCTGAGGTGACGGTCTAGAGGCAGCCTCTTTTCTCTCCCTTCTATTACGTCTCACATTCACGTCTTTTCCTTGGAGACACAGATACAAACACGACACGACATCATTGCGCGTCCCTCTCTGTTCAACGCCAATCTCGGACAAACAGCCAGCCATTGACGCAGACGGTGGCACGGAAAAAGATAGCTTGCACACCCGTCATCGAAAATCACACCCATTGTCCATGATGAATGAGGTTGAGAGCGGGAAACAAGCATATGGGGCACCCAGGGATTTGATGCACCAAGTGGAGAGAAGATCAATTAGAAACCCAGATCCCATGGGCAGCCGTGGGGAGCTATGGCGGGTCGCGGGGAGCCAACTCCTAGCCTCTAGGGGCTCTTCGGGACGTTGCAGGGGTAGCTCTGGCTGAGGTGGGCTCCACTAGCATTTTCTCGGTAGCTACTCCTGGGACCCCCACCTTTCTCCCTCCCTCTCAACCTCCTCCACAGCGGGCGCTTACATGATGAGGTGGTGATGGGATGGGATGCGAAGTCTCCAACTCTTTGCTGGATAGCTCGGGCAAGAAAAGATCATCCACTCATCCTCCTCTCTCAAAACAAGCAGAGTCGATGCAAGGCCTCATACAGCCCGAGCGTTCCGGGGAATGTTTTGGCCTTCACCCGCCTATTTCTAGGTTCTAGATTGCTGCCCACTTGGCTTGCGGCTGTCCGGCCACCGGCAAACAATTTGAGCACAGACGTGCACGTTGCCTCAACACCAAAGACAATCCAAATAGCAACATTCACTAACTTGTTGATGATGGCTGGCCTCTGAGCTAAACTGGCACCTCATCCGCTGGGGGCTTGCAGTAGTTAGTCTGCCACCAATGGGGAGGCGGCAGCATCTAACGACAGGCTTTGTTCCATCTTTTCTAGGCAGACGAATTCTTTTCCTCCACCTTCTAACTTGGTACACCGCTATCCACGCAACCAAAATACTTACTGCAGTCTGCAAGTGCTTGAATAATGCAATGTAATGTGCTACAGCTACAGCTACAGCTTTCAGACCCGAGCCGAGCTGGGGCACACACGCACATACAGACAGACAGGCATCTGATGTTGCGCGTCCCCTGGACACCACGGAAGGTTTCAACTTTCAATTCCGGGTAACACGGCCGCAATCGCAATGATGCTGATGCTGATGCTGATCCTGGTCCATCCACCACCACCATCCACGTCTTGGGTCGAGTCAGTACTTCCTCACCGAAACCGCTCCAAGGTGAGGGAGATGATAGCTACAAGACATAACATGTAGATACTCTTTCGACTTCGTCTCGTAATGAAACTTCATTCTGACCTTGGATTTCCTTGTTGTGTCAGAACCATATACTCACAAACATCCCTTCTACCCCCTACAATTCTCAAACCCTACTCATAGTCATAAATAATAGTGCTCAGACTACTCACCTCTCGGTGTGCCATCCCACCTCCTTGGATAGACCAGGCTACACCTAGATGGCCAAGACAACCTTAACACTAACCCACCCATTGGCGCCCCCCATTCGTCCATACCACCCTGACCGAGAATGTTCTCTCACTTTCTCAGTTCGTGGTCTGAATGATAGGAAACAATGACAAAGATAGCTTAGTTGTATCAGTGGGGGTTTGGTTTTTTTTTCATTTACCAACTGTAGTCTATTCAATGGTCACAAAAATGACGAGATGAAACTTGCTACGCTTTGTTGATGAGCATGGCGATCATCATTTGTGACTTAATCGAAGCCAAATTTCCATCATGATGACTTTGACGGGGTAAACACCAAAAGACGGTGTATACATCAAACTCGTTATATTTTTGCTAACTCGTTTTATCGAATGACTCCGCTTGTACCCGTTCAGACGACAAAGTAAAAAAAAAAAAAAAAAAAAAAAAAAAA